CTCCAACAAGATATTTTAGTTCTTAGGACTAGTGCTTTACACTACAAAAAAAAAGGATTTTAGCGACCACCAAAATCGGTCGCTAAATTGGTAAAATCGGTCGCTATTTACTTTAGCGACCGAATTAGCGACCGATTTGAAGTAGTTGCAAAAACCCTGGTCGCAAAGTTGTTTAGCGACGGAAATACTGGTGGTCGCTGATTAGCGACCGAAAATTTCGGTCGCTAATTGGTCACTATGATTATGGTCGCCATAGTATATGGGGACCAAATTAGCGACCGAAAAAAACGTCGCTACATCGGTCGCTAATTGTGTTATTTATTTTTAAATTTTTAAAAAATGATTTTCCTTTCCGTCGCTAAATCGGTCGCTAACATTTTTTAAAATAAAAAATTATTTTTTGATTTCGGTCGCTAAATCGGTGGCTAATTGTGTTATTTATTTTTGAATTTTTGAAAAATGATTTTCCTTTCCGTCGCTAATTCGGTCGCTAACATTTTTTAAAATAAAAAATTATTTTTGATTTCGGTCGCTAAATCAGTCGCAAAATTTATTTTAATTAAAAACGATTTTAATATCGGTCGCTAAAGTGGTCGCTAAGTGTGTTTTTTTTATTTATTTTTTTAAAATAATTTCTCATTCGGTCGCTAAATCGGTCGCTAAATTTTATTATTTAAAAAATGAATTTTTATTATAGTAAAAAATTAATTTTCATTTCGGTCGCTAAATCGGTCGCTAAACATAATTTTATTTTTGAGAAAAAAAAACTAATTTTTTTCGATCGCTAAATTCAGTCGCTAGGCTTACTTTATTTTTAGACATGATCGCTAATTTTATACCTTAAACACTATATATTTTATTTTCATTTTCATTTTGAACCTGTTTAACAATGAAACAATAACATTAAAATTGATAATGCAAATATAGTCCTAATATCATAATAAAAGTAATTAAAATATATAATATATGATACAATCTACAAAACCACAACTAATAAAAAGAATAAAAAAAATAACATTTAACTAATAACTAATAGTAAAAATGAAATAAAATTTTCTAAACCACAATTAATATAAAACATCCAAAATAAGTCATCAAATACACAACTAACTAAAAGCATCCAAAAGGAGTATATAACATTTAACTAATAATAAAAACTAAAACAAGTATATGATATCATAAAAGAGAAATACACATACAATCAACAATCTTTTGGTGTGTCATCAACATGATCATGCTGCTCGTCCTCAACATGGTGTCTGGGGTCATCCATAGTGGTAGTTGGTAAACTAGGCCCTGGCATAAGAGAGTTAATCTGAAAGTGTCGTAAGATTAACTGCATCTGCTGATCTTGTTGATGCATACGCTCACTTTGCTGTCTCATGTGCTCATTTTGCAACTCATGATTTTTCATTAATTGTTCCATCTTTTGCTCAAGCATCCTCTCCTTATCTTCCTTTGCTAGAAGCTCAGCATTCAATTTGTCAATTGTTTGACGCATTTCCTCTATTGCCTCTACCATTGGAGGTTGACTTAAAGTAGATTGAGCATGTGTTGACCGACTAAACTTTTTGCTCAAAGTACCAAGTCCATAGACATGTCCTTTGTTATTCTCACCTACAACACCTAAATATATTTCATTTTCATTGATAGAGGCAAGAGACTCTTGTGTAGATGTTCCTTCCCCAGTACACTGCAAGACCTCCTCTCGACGTTTTTGATATCTTTCCTGCAAAATAAATTAAAACATCATATTTTTACAATTAATATATAAAGATAAACTTCAAAATATATTTAGAAAAGTTGAAAGGTAAAACTTACAGCAAGGTCCCGGGTCTTGTCATTAACCCAATCTCCAGTCTTCAACTTTTTTGTTTTCTCCACTATCTCCCATGCAGTTGGTGGTCGTTGAAATTCCTTAGACTACATATTTAAATATGTTTTACAAATCATCTTTTAGAGTGAAAATAAAATTTTATACATCATGTATAATGGATCTACAAGAACATCATATATATTTCTCTTTAGAAAAACATGCAATTAAAGTAAATAAATTATAAAGGGTTTAACTTTTATTAGATTGTTGCTAAAATTATGATATCAATACAAATTATAAAATATATATCTTCATTAATTTTTATAGATCATATTTTAATATAGCTTACTATAATTATCATATTTTAAATTATTTTAACTTTTCGAAACCAAGATTCAAATTTATTTTAACTCATTTCATAATGTGAAATTTTATATTTTCAAGATTCAAATATAAAACAAATTGGCATTAACGAGCTAATAGTTGTTGATTTACCCAAAGTTTGGATCCAAGTTATTTGCTTCCCCTCTTTTGGCGGCTTATGAGAACCATATATGACACCCCAATCTATCAGATTTGGACAAAACCCTCCAAAACTTTTGTTTTGTAGGTCATATTGCATTAGACCCAATGAGAATGGTAGCAATTTAGTTGAGATAGTTTCATATTAGTCACTTAAGAGAATAAATATAGTAGCTCCTATCCTAATTATAAATAACGTACAACAAATTATCAACATTAAAAAAAATAATTAATATGATTACTTTCAATTAATTATATTATAAATTTAAATTTTATTCTAAATGTATCATTTATTTAAAATAATTATTATTTTTAATGTTAATTATAAATAAATATATAAAAAATAGAGTTAACAATAAGTAAAGGATATATAAAAAATTAACCTTCAATAACTTTAAAATTAATGGTTGTTGCTTACTATTATGATAAATAAAAAAAAATCCAATTTCAATTTTATAATTGTAACCAAAACTAATACTATAAAGTTGTAAGAAAAATCTACTAAGTTCACTAACTATCTTTTCGTGTTTTGGAAACACGTTCAATACATAATCTAATAATAAAGTCACATCCAAAATGCAAAAGCTACAATAGGTTAATTTAGTTTAGATGCGGAAAATCATAACTAAAAGATGTTACTAAACATATAGTTAAATTTTCTAGAAGTATTTCTAAGAAAAAATAAAATAAGAAAAAAATGAAAATAAATTTCTTCACAAATTATAACTTACGTAGAAGTTAAAAAAAATATTTTAGAGAAACTATTTGTTTTTCTTCTACAAATTAACTTATAAAAAGCTTATTTCCTTTTTACCTAAATAAACTCTTAGATTATGTAGTGTTTTAACTTCACAATTGGTTTGAATGAGAGCTAGAGTGAGAAAAAGTGAGATAATGAGTATATTTGCATTCAAAATGACCAAAATCATATTTGTAACATATTTGACTATTAATAAAATCATATTTGACTAGGGTGCTGAGTTATGTGTAGAAACAGCAGAAGGTACAGTTATGATGCAGTCCTGTTATGCAGTGGCATAGTTCTTAACTACTATGCAGTATGCATCATGTGATTTTCTAATTTGTGTTTTACTTCAATTATGTCTGAACAGGAAAGTACGTGCCTAGATCAGTGTCTGTAATCCTAGACAGCGAAGCCAAGGTCAAGATCATGGGTAGTTTTTACTTTTTATGTCTATCTACTTTTATTTGGCTCAATAGGATTATGAACCGAAAACATATCCAGAAAAATCGCCAAATCTACTTTCCATGGCATGACTCGGTTAATAATAATAGTATGATACACTTTCTATCAAAACAGAATTTAGACACCGTAAAATCTAATTAGTTCTTCAAGTTAACTAAGTGTTATCATTTCAACTATTGAAACTTACGGAGTGGGAATCTTACCTTTTGAATTTTATGTCCAGAAAATGAGTTTATGATTAACTTGGACATTATGATTAATTCTAACATTACTGATGTAGCTATACTTTTGTCTCTCTGACTCTTGGTGCAATGATCCCTACTCTAAAACTACAGGTTGTACTTATGATGAGGAAGCATAATCTATTCAAAAGCAAGAAGGAGGGTATGTGTATTTTTTAATTTTCCCACCATGTTCTATTCTTTTGTTTTACTT